ATTAAAAACGATCTTTTAATAAAATAAAAAAAGTTTTCTCAATTTCTTTGGCTATGGAATATGACATGTATTTTATTTTATGATCTTATTGAACTATGTCTTGTTGTTTTTATTAGATGCTGCCTCAAAGTCAAATAAAAGTTTAACCAAAATGGATCTCATGCAACTTATTGGAAGATTAATTAGGCATTCTTCTGACCAATTCAAGAGAAAATCCACCAATATCGATATTGATCAATGATGGCTTAATTAACTTCAATCAACTGTTGTGTTTTTTATTTATTTTCCATTTTTCAGTAATTTTCCTTTTACTTATAATATACTATCGATTATACTCTACAAAATATATTAGTTTTTAATTTGGAAAGTGTAACTTTGTTTGAATAATTTTTCTAATTTTTTGTAAAATTAATAATTTATTTTAAATATATGAAACTACACTTTATGAACTTTGATTTCTTTTTATACCTTCACTTGCCATCTAAGGTCTGTATTGCATATCATTGCATTTTTATATAACTTTTAAAAGAAATTTACGTCTCTAGTACGTCTGAATAAGTCGTCCTTAAGTCTTTCACATGAGACCTGCCAGAGACGTCCATAGGACGGCTGAAAAGACGTCTCTAGGACGTCTACAATAAAAGTCCCTAGGACATCTTGAAAAGACGTCTTTAGGACGTCTGGAATAGACGTCCTCAGGTCTTTCATTTGAGACTAACTAAGGACGTCTTACGGACGAGACTTGAGACGTCTTATAAACGTTCTTAGGACGTCAAAATGCCCGCTGGGTAAATTTGAGTTTTTTTGTTCAGAAATCAGAAATTTATATTAACTATTTAGTTCAATATAAAGTTAATAAAAATCTAATAAAGATACTAGGCACTACTATGCTGACAGCTAAGTCCATTATTTTTACCTTTTCCATCATTATGATCTTTCGTATTTAGAGACTGCATTGGCTGCTATTAACGGAAGTGCATATCAGGCGGCTATTGAAGAAATGCTTCCTTTCTTTGCAATTTTTGACTACTTGCTTAGTTAATCGTCGGTAATATCTTCAATAAAAATTTGTTATTAATAAAAAACAACTATTGATTACGTCAAAATAAAAGACGATACATTATTGTAATATAATCCAAAGAAATATCTACAAAAATTTAATTATACACGAATGATTTTATTGATTATACTAAAAAAACGTTACGCTTTTTTTTTAAATTTTAGGTGCTATAAGAAGTCCTTACGGTATTATCACAGAGCACCGTAGAAGTGCGTTTAAAAGGAAGTTCACGCCTCCTTAGGGCTCGTTCATAAATTACGTCACGCTATTGGGGGAGGAGGGGTTGGTGATTTTGTGACGACTCATACAAAACTTGATTCTTAAGTATTACAATTTTGTGACGAGGGGGGGAGGTCAAATTTGGTTAAAAATTGCGTGACGTAATTTATGGACGACCCCTTACCGTTGTTATAAAACATGCTCAGAGCGGAGTTGAACAACGGATCTCTAGATTCTGAGGCAAGTGCGCTAACCACTGCGCTGTGGCTGTGTTTTAAATTAACTCTACAGTCTATTAAAAGTACAGTCAACTTGAATTTGTACATATGCATTTTTTCTTGTTTCTAACTCTTTACCCTTAGTTTTCTATTTAGAAGGTGTGATATGTTAAGGGTTATTTTTTTAGATAATTAGTTAACTAGATAACAAAACAAATCTGTGGCCATGAGGTTATCAATATTTAGGTTATCAACAAACAAATCTGTGGCCATTAGGTTATTAATATTTTCTAATAGTTTACTATGCTACCTTGTTTTATTATCTGTTTATTACTAGATGTAAGAATATATTAGTAATCTTATCATTTATACATGGGATAATTAAGGTAACGTTTTCAAAAAAAAAAAATCGTTGTTGCAATAATTTTTTATTTTTTGTTAGCCAAGTGATAAGATTGATGGAAACTTAATGTATAAAATTCATACCAACTTAATATTATTCTATTATTATCAATTCTATTATTACTAGGCATAATATAAAACTTTATTGAATGGTAATGACAGTAGATAAAAAATAATTTTAAACCCCTATTTTATATTTATTTCAATCAAGGAGAATTACAGCAGAGAGTCGAGTTTTTATATTATTTAAAATTTTTTTTATAAAGTTGTTGTTTTATTTACGCTTAGAATAATAAAAATCTTTAGAAAAATTTCTTTAAATCTTTATTTTTAATATAATATTTTGAACTCTTTGAAATTTAAGATTATTTTGATTTTTTTAAAAGTATATTAGTTTTAATATGCAAAAATTGGAAGAAAAAAAATTTTTTATCTTACTTGTTATTTTAATATGATTTTTTATACAATTATTTCTTTTCACCATGGTTGTTCAATATTTTCTTTTGGCATTTGTTTTGATTTTTTAATTCAACTTTTAACAACGCGCTCTCAGAAAAATTAAATCAAAGGTTCGATGCTGGCTCTGGCCAGACACGCAGCATTGGTAAATAAGTAGGGATAAACTCCCTGGATAGTTACTCTTCCATTGTGCTGCGTGATTAGACCGTTAGGTTTTTTGGAGCATCTTAATAACTAAAAAATAAATAAAAATACTTGCAAAATAATTTTGCAAAGTTATTGCCAGATGTTTTATTCATATTCATTATATATATTATTTGTATATGATTATTTATTTACACTGCAGACTTAACGTATAGTGCTGTCATGTAAGTTTAATGGTATTAAAATAATTTGTTGTTGACAAAATGAAGTAATCTAGTATCGCGCTGCGTTTCATGTCAATCGCTAATTGAAACGGAGTCATTATTTTTCCATTTAAAAACATGTCTCCCGACGACTGAACTAATAAATGTACAAGTAGTAAGTTATCTTTATAAACTGCAACGTGAAGTGGAGATATTCCATTTAAATTGATCATATCAACATTTTTTTGTATTGAAATAAGATATTTTACGACTAATGTATTTCCCGCCAATACTGCAGCATGAAGAGGAGTCCATCCCTCTAAATCCGTTGTATGGCACGGGAAACCATATTTAATTAGTATCGTTACGCAGTTTATACAGGCGTTATAAGCTGCTTCGTGTAAAACTGTTTTAGACCGTTGAAGAATTAATGCTACATTAACATTTTTTAGCATGCAACGTAGTTTGTTACAATTGTCGTCCATAATACATTTGAGTAACCTCTCCGCAGAAAAAATCTGAGAAGGATCCATTTGATTTTGAAAATACTTTGAAATTTTATTATCTTTTGCAGTAGCTTGTAACATATCTACTAAACTCGCTCTTTTAAAAGCAATTGGGGAAGCGAAGGATCGGATGAAAGGTTGTTTTGGAACTTCAGAGTATTTTCGCGATAGAAGTCGTAAAGGCTTTGAATCTGCAATTGATTGTTCGGTTTCTCTATTGCGGTTGTTCATCATGTTTGCAGGTAATAAACAAGTTCTATCTAATTTTGAAAATGTGTTATGAAAAAATGTTTTAAACTTCACGTTTTTCACATAATTATTTAATCAACAGTTTTGATACATTATTCAAAAGGTTTAACAATAATCTTCAATCAACATTTATTATTTATTTTTTTAACTATGAATATTTATTTAATTTAATTAATTTTTTTTTTTTTTTTAAATGCAAATGGGATGGAAAAAATTATTTAAAAAATTGTAAAAAGGATGCGCGCGCAAAATAAAAATTATTTAACAGAATAAAAACAAAATAGTTAAAATAAAAAGTATATCAATAAAACAGCCCATCGAAGCTCAATCAATAAAAAATTAGTTAAACTCATTTCAATTCCGTTTACAAAATCATCCCTAAATATTATTTTTATTTACTTTGTGAGAAAGTTTATACTTAATAAAGGCAACAATAAAACACCTTCAATTATTAAAATTTTATTATTAAACCAGCAATAAAATTTAAAAATCAAATTAGGATTATTCTTTTTAAATATAAGATTATTAAATATCTGGGACAATAATATATTATATAAACTAGATGTCTAAGTTTTGGGATTTTATTGGGCGAAAAATGAAACCGCTTTTTTTTTGTTTATTAATATAATCCGCCATTTGTAAAAAGGGCAAAAGCTGAAGCCGATGTGTGGAATGAAAGTTAAAAATTCAAGTCAAAAGTTCCCAATAACTTAAAGATAAATCAATAACAAGTTTTATTTAAAACGTTATTGATTTATCTTTATTTTTATATTTATTTAAAAACGTTTTTTTTACGAGCCTAGGATTAAAGTATTCATAAAAATGCTTCAAAAGCGTCTATTGTTTCACTTTTCTATTAAAAACTTTAATCCCTTTCTAATCGGAAAAAAATTAATGAATCATAAATTATTATTTTACAAGTATTCGAATTTCCTTATAACATTTTTACATAAATAGTATTTACATTTAAGATAATATTTACGTCATTTAAAAAAAGAAAAGCTAAATAATGATTGTTTACAAATTTACACCGCCATTTGTAAAAAGGGCCAAAGAGGCTTCACTTTTCGGATCGAAGTTAGACATATTGTTGTTTGTTTTTTTTGTTTTTTTTTTAAGTTGATTAAGGTGCCCCAAGAAGTCCTTACGGTCTCACCACAGAGCACTGCGGAAGAGCATTTAGTAGGAAGTTCACGCCTCCTTCCCAACCGATTACACAAAACTTGCCTAGAGGTGGGGTTTGAACTAGGGGTCTTATGTTTCTGAGGCAAGTGCGCTACCACTGCGCCATGGCTGCTACGATTTATATAATATATTATTATATAATATATACGGTTTATATAATATATTAATAATATATATAATATATAATAATACGGTTTATATAATATATTGTTATATAATATATAATATATATACGGTTTATATAATATATTATATAATATATTATTGATCTGGCGAAAACATTGCTTCAACAAAATAATAAACATTAGATTTTAATATCGCAACAAAAATGTCACATTTATATTTGAAAAATCACATTTATATTTGTGTGTTTAGCACAATTTTCTCTGCTAACTTGCATCATTTAAAATAACAAATTTTTTTAACAAAATATAGTTTTCAAAGTGGTCTTCATTCTTATACACTTTGAAAAGTTCGCTTTATAATTTTATATATTATAATTTTATATATTATGAAGAATACTTCGAATTTTATATATTATAAAGAATACTATAAAGAATTTTATATATTATAAAGAATTATATATTATAAAGAATTTATATATTTTAAAGAATACTAAAAAGAATTTTTATATATTATAAAGAATACTTTAATTTTATATATTATAATTTTATATATTATAAAGAATACTTTGCTTAAGCCTTTGAGCCGATAAGACGTGTTTTTGTTTAAGCGTAAGTTTTCAGGAATTTTAATTTTTTTTTTTTTTTCCGTATTCTTTATCTTTCTTTTTCTACTTATTTTTCTAACTTTTTCTAACCACTACTTCTTTCTCTACTTATTGCTTTATCTTATCAGCTTATATCCAAATTTTGGATAGTAATATATTAACTATTCGTGTCTATAATACAGTTTTTGTTGAACTTCGCATACCTATATTAAATATAATTGTTATATATACCTATACTTATATTTTATTATATATATATCTTTATTTATATATTACTATTATAAACAGTTATAACTGAGATTTTATTTATGCTTTAGTTCGCTTAAATTTTTTACAGAGTTTTAAAAAGTTTTTTTTTTTTTTTTTTTTTTTTTTTTTTTTTTTTTTTTTTCTTCGCCTAAAGTTGCGTTTGCACCTGTTTTTATGTTTTTTAATTTTCTGAACAATAAACTAAATTTTTGCGCTCTGACACAAACTAATATTAGTAAATTATATATCCATTATATATAAACATATACAAATAATATAAAGAAATTAAATATATACAAATAAATATAATAACACGGAAAAAAACACATACTGAATTTTTTTAGTCCCTGTGTAACAAGTTAATTGTGATAGTTGTAACAAATAAATTTGTAATAATTGTAACAAATAAATAAACATAAAAACATCACTGATATAAAAAAAAAAAAAAAAAAAAAACCCATCTGTGATGACTAATTTAACACCAGCTCAATTAAAGCAAGTCGAGGACGCAATTAAAAAATTTATCATGCTGAAACTGCGAAATGGTCGGCCAAAATATCTAAACTAGAACAAGTAATAAAGCAGATAAGCAGATCGACGATAAGGAAACGGTTTAGAATATCTTAGTTACTATTTCATCTGATGCAAAAACAAATCTGTCAAACGTATTAAATCTACGTCTTCTAAACCAGGACCAATTATCGTCGAACTTTCTGATGTCTCCGAAAGAAACCCATTATTAACAGCAACGAAAAAATTGAAAAATTCAGATAATTATAAAAATGTTTTTATAAGCCCAGATTTGACTGAGGCTGAAAGATATTTAAACTATCAGTTAAGAATGAGGCGTAATGAATTAAATAATAATATCAATTTAAAAACATCGCCCTTTAGATACGGTATACGAAGCAGCGGAGTCGTCAAACTTAAAAATATACAAACCACTACATAAACATTACTACCCCTTTTCCACTCTTTTACCAGCAAACTTAAAATACAAAAGTAAAAATCTTCATAACAAAAAAACAAACTATAACATTAATGGCGTTAATTGTTATTATACTAATGCTACATCTCTCGATAATAAAATGGCCAATTTAATTTCAATATCTAGAACGTTTGATTATCGCGTTATTGCTATCTCTGAAACATGGTTTCGAAATGACTCAGTACCAAATATTGATGGGTATAGCCTATATCGTAAAGATTGTCAAGACGGACGTCGAGGTGGCGGTGTAGCTATCTACATTGTAGACGTATTTAACTCTCATGAAGTTAACCAATTTTATACAAATCTACTCGAACAAGTCTGGGTATCTGTAAAATTTAACAACAAACATATACTTATTGGTTGTATATACAGACCAAATGATGCTAGTTTAATAAAATATGTCGCTTAATCCTTCAAATTAGCTTATAGTTTAATTAAAAAGCCCTACGATGACTGTTTGATTGTCGGTGACTTTAACCTCCCGAATATAAAGTGGTCTAACGACGGTATTATATCTTTTAACCCAAACAATCCTACCGAGTATGATTTCTGGAATATTTTCCAAAACAGCCTTTTTACACAACATATCACATTTCCTACTTTCCAGACTGATTATGGTTCCTCAAATAATATGTTGGACTTGTTATTTACCTACAACAGTAATTCTATTTTAAACTTGTCTCCTAGTACTATACTAGGTAATAACACTAAGGGTCATTTTAGTATCACTTGGAGATTCTTAGTTTCAGAACTGTTCACCGAAAGTGAATCTCAATCGTTTAATTACAAAAAAGGTGATTACGATTCAATATCTAACTTTATTGCATCAATCAACTGGGAGTTTTTATTTCTGCATAAAACTGCAGATCAAATGTTCAATATACTAATTTCTAACTATCGCACTGCTTGCACATACTTTATTCCCAAGATTAATAAAACAAAAAAAAAGTATGATCCTTGGGTTACCCCACATATTAAAAACCTGATCCGAGCAAAAAAATCCGCATGGCATATTAACTGCTCTACCAAATGGGAGAATAGTGAGCTTAAAATAAAATACAATCGACTTAATCGTTCAGTAAAAGCTGAAATATTTAAAGCAAAAAAAGAACATGAAAAAGAAATAATATCAAAATCCCAAAACAACCCAAAACTTGTTTACAAATATATCAACAAACAACTAAAAATTAAAGATCGAATTCGCTCTCTCAAAGATACTTCTGGCAGAATTATTGAAGCTCTTCTTGATATAGTTGATCTTCTGAACTCTCAATTTGAATCTATGTTTACACTTGAAAGCTCTGAAAGTTTTCCTTTGTTAAATAATAGTGGTATTCATTCTGAATGCATTTATAATGAAAACTTGGATTTCTCTATCCCAGATATTACTCAGGAACTTGCCGATCTAAACCCTTATAAATCCTTCGGATTTGACGGTCTGCATCCCTTAATACTCAAGATATGTGCCAAAAGCTTTGCAAATCCATTAACAAAAATCTTTCACGAATCCTTTAATTCTGGAGTAGTATCCAGTCAATGGAAATTAGCAAATATTAGTCCGATCTATAAAAAAAAGGAAGATAAATTACTTGCTGAAAACTATAGACCTATTTCACTAACATCTGTTGCCTGTAAAATCTTCGAAAAACTTGTAAAGAACAAAATTTTAAAGCACATTAACGGTAATAAAATGCTCTCTGCAAATCAACATGGCTTCCTTTATCATAAATCATGTGTAACTAACCTAATAGAAACTTTTGATATCATTTCGTCCTCCATAGCATCCCACCAATTTATTGATGTAATTTTTCTTGACTTTGCCAAAGCGTT